GGCCCGCGGGGGCGAAACGGAAGCCCAGGCTGGCTGCAAACCAAGTGTTTGCGCAAAGCAGCGTCACGCCGACAGGCGGAGCCGGACCAGGGCACGGGCCTCTGGCACCACGCTGCAGTCAGGCTCGTTACGCTCTCAAGGGCTCTGGGTGCCACTGGACGGGGCGGGACAAGACCTGGGGGGAGGGCTCGCACCAGCGCTCCGACGGGCAAAGGGATCCCTCCAAAGGGAGCTGGAAAGGGCCCGAGGGAGGGTCTGAGGGGCCAGGCTCCGGCACGCGACTCGCAGAGGGCGCATCCGACACTCACCTATGAGTCTCATCAGTAAGAACTGGACTCCGATCGCAAAGGACTTTTCGTCCTGGTTCACCACCCTGCCGGGGAGAAGCCAGAGATGGGACCTGAGGCATGTTCGCTGGGTTGCTCCGAGCAACGGGCTAGAATCTGCACTGGGGTGGCTTGGGGCCACCGCGTCCCCTGGGACATGCCAGGCTGAACGCCGCTGGCACGCCAGGTTTCTCTCGAAGCGAAGGGGGAGGTGTTTAAATAGCTCCCGTGGGAATGGGCCGGATTCGGGGGGCAAGCGCTGGTGATTGGGGCTGGCTGAAGACTGCAAGCATCAGCAGAAAGGGGAACCTTGACCCCCCACCCTTGGCAGCACGTTTCCAGTTTTCGGTGAAGGGCCATGAGGGTCTAACGGCTCTGGAAGCTCATGGGGGGACACCTGGATGGGGAAGGCTCCGTGCACGGACAGGACCTCGGCACGAGGACCCCAGGGCCTGGCCTGGCCGGGCAGGCAGGAGACTGGCAGTTTCCAGCCCCACAGAGCGGCGATCCGGGGGCCGTTTCCAGTGGGACGGGGAGAAGCGGCCTGACGAGCTGCCGAGTTGCTCCCCAGCCGTTCGGTTGCTTTTCCTGCTCGGGGCAGGGGACTGATGCCACCACGGGCAGCGCCGCACAACGTGGCCCAGTGACCCGCCATAGCGAGCGACCCCACCGGCCGGCTCCCGGCGCACAGGACGGCCGCTGCTCCGCTGAGACCCGAGCGCGCTGGCTGAGAGAGACTGGGCCGGAGGAGCGTGCAGGGGGGGCGGCGTGAAGAAGGGCAGGGGGACCCCAGTGTCTCAGGGGGTCCAAACGGTTGGACCTGGGTTTAGTCTGGGTCAGCGCTGATTGCAAGCCTAAGCAGGCCCAGGGCCAGACCCACGGAGGCCAGGATCCCGTGTGGCCCCACTGATGTCCCTTGGAGCTGGGACACAGCCCTGCGGAAGAGCCGGCCCATGCTTCCTGGCCTTCCCGGAAAGGGCAGTCCCAAACCCGGGCTCCTGGCCGCCTCTCGCCAGCGACACACCGAGGCTGCGTGAGCCAGGCAGCCACATCCAGCCCCGCCCCACGCAGAGCCCCGCCTCGCCCAGCTGATGGTGTCAGAGAGAGTTCCCCTGCCGCCCTGCCCCAGCCAGTGCAAACACCCACGCAAGGGCAGTCACGGCCCATTCCAGGCGGGCGGGGAGGGGCGTCGCCCAGGCCAGGAAGGGGGCAGCCCGTAGGCCTGGTCGCAGCAGGCAGGAAACGTGCCAGCGCTTTACCCTTGGCGCGCAGCCCCTGCCTGGGATCGTGGCCGTACCGTAACACCATCATGTAGAGGGGGTTGTGCGACAGGCAGGCGATCATGGCAGCGAAGGAGATGACGAACACGGTCGGAAGCAGCAAGTGGGAACAGCTGACCAGGCAGGACCCTGCCTTTGCTGAGGAGGGGCCGTTCTTGGTGTGGACACAGGAGCAGTTCACGTAGGTCTGTGGGGCATTCAGACGACAGGAAGACGCCTCCTGAGCTCAGGGTGGCTGCCGCAGAGTTTTCAGACCAACCTGCCCGGTTCCCTCCTCCCAGCGGTTTTGCCCGGAGCAGTGGCTGGGACCAAGCAGCAGGAGTGACTCGGCACATGGCCGACATGCCCCAAGTCCCACAGGGAAGTCACCATCCAGTGCTCCCTCGTCTGCCGGCTCAGCCGGAGCCTGAAGCAGCGGGACCGC